AGGATCTATTATGTATGCCATGCTGTGTACCAGACCTGATGTAAACCTTGCCGTAAGTTTGGTAGGAAGGTACCAAAGTAATCCCGGCAAGGAACACTGGACAGCGGTCAAGAATATCCTGAAGTACCTGAAAAGGACAAAGGACATGTTTCTCGTTCATGGAGGTGACGAAGAGCTCGTCGTAAAGGGTTACGTCGACGCTAGCTTCGACACAGATCTGGATGACTCTAAGTCACAAACCGGATACGTGTATATGTTGAATGGTGGAGCAGTAAGCTGGTGCAGCTACAAGCAGAGCGTCGTGGCGGGATCTACATGTGAAGCGGAGTACATGGCAGCCTCGGAGGCAGCGCATGAAGCAATTTGGGTGAAGGAGTTCATCACCGACCTAGGAGTCATACCCAATGCGTCGGGGCCGATCAAACTCTTCTGTGACAACACTGGAGCTATTGCCCTTGCCAAGGAGCCCAGGTTTCACAAGAAGACTAGGCACATCAAGCGTCGTTTCAACTCCATCCGTGAAAATGTTCAAGATGGAGACATAGATATTTGCAAAGTACATACGGATCTGAATGTCGCAGATCCATTGACTAAACCTCTTTCGCGAGAAAAAACATGATCAACACCAGAACTCTATGGGTGTTCGATTCATCACAATGTAACTAGATTATTGACTCTAGTGCAAGTGGGAGACCGTTGGAAATATGCCCTAGAGGCAATAATAAAAGGATTATTATTATATTTCCTTGTTCATGATAATTGTCTTTTATTCATGCTATAATTGTATTATCTGGAAATCATAATACACGTGTGAATACTTAGACCAAATACGTCCCTAGTAAGCCTCTAGTTGACTAGCTCGTTGGTCAACAGATAGTCATGGTTTCCTGACTAGGACATTAGATGTCATTGACAACGGGATCACATCATTAGGAGAATGATGTGATGGACAAGACCCAATCCTAAGCATAGCACAAGATCGTGTAGTTCGTTTTGCTAGAGCTTTTCCAATGTCAAGTATCTCTTCCTTAGACCATGCGATCGTGTAACTCCCGGATACCGTAGGAGTGCTTTGGGTGTACCAAACATCACAAGTAACTGGGTGACTATAAAGGTGCACTACAGGTATCTCCGAAAGTATCTGTTGGGTTGACACGGATCGAGACTGGGATTTGTCACTCCGTATGACGGAGAGGTATCTCTGGGCCCAATCGGCAATGCATCATCATAATGAGCTCAAAGTGACCAAGTGTTTGGTCACGGGATCATGCATTATGGTACGAGTGAAGTGACTTGCCGGTAACGAGACTGAACGAGGTATTGGGATACCGACGATCGAGTCTCGGGCATGTAACGTACCGATTGACAAAGGGAATTGTATACGGGTTTGATTGAATCCTCGACATCGTGGTTCATCCGATGAGATCATTGAGGAGCATATGGGAGCCAACATGGGTATCCAGATCCCGCTGTTGGTTATTGACCGGAGAGCCGTCTCGGTCATGTCTGCATGTCTCCCGAACCCGTAGGGTCTACACACTTAAGGTTCGGTGACGCTAGGGTTGTATGAATATGAGTATGCAGCAAACCGAATGTTGTTCGGAGTCCTGGATGAGATCCCGGACGTCACGAGGAGTTCCGGAATGGTCCGGAGGTAAAGAATTATATATAGGAACTGCTGTTTCGGCCATCGAGAAAGTTTCGGGGTCACCCGGTATTGTACCGGGACCACCGGAAGGGTCCCGGGGGTCCACCGGGTGGGGCCACCTATCCCGGAGGGCCCCGTGGGCTGAAGTGGGAGGGGAACCAGCCCCTAGTGGGCTGGTGCGCCCCCCCTTGGCCCCTCCCTGCGCCTAGGGTTGGAAACCCTAGGTGGAGGGGGGGCGCACCACTTGCCTTGGGGGGCACTCCACCCCCTGGCCGCCGCCCCCCTTGGGAGATTGCATCTCCCAGGGCCGCCCCCCTGGGGGCCTATATAAAGGAGGGCATGGGGGAGGGAAGCCGCACCCTTGTGTCTTGGCGCCTCCCACCCCTGCTACACCTCGTCCTCCTCAAGCAGCAGGTTGGCGAAGCCCTGCCGGAGTTCTTCTGCATCCACCACCACGCCGTTGTGCTGCTGGATCATCATCAACCTCTCCTTCCCCCTTGCTGGATCAAGAAGGAGGAGACGTCATCCGCTCCGTACGTGTGTTGAACGCGGAGGTGCTGTCCGTTCGGCACTTGGTCATCGGTGATTTGAATCACGGCGAGTACGACTCCATCATCACCGTTCTCTTGAACGCTTCCGCACGCGATCTACAAGTGGTATGTAGATGCAATCTCTCTCCCATGACTCATTGCTTAGATGAACTCATAGATGGATCTTGGTGAAACCGTAGGAAAATTTTTAATTTTCTGCAACGTTCCCCAACAAGGCTTTATGTGGCTAGGTTATGATCTATGCAAAGTTTCGGCTTCATAGGACAAAGGCACAATGCACTTGCTTCATAGGTTAACAGATTTGCCAGAAACTTAAGAAGGATGCTCTAGTCAAAATTTGATTTATAAGTCTTGGTGTTGAATGGAAATAGAGTTTCTAGGTATAGGAGGGTTTCTGGAAAATTTGGTAAGGCCAAAGTGTCAAAGGAAAAAGGGTCCCCAGTGCAAAGATGGTCTCTAGGTTTTAATTTAAGTAAATGGGTTTAGGGTTTAGTGATCCAAACTTAAAACAAATTTATCCCAGGGTCAAGGTAACTTAGGTAGGTTAACAAGGCTTGAGCAACCAGGCAAGTCAATCATCATCAAGTATACACCAAGTTTCAAGAAAATTCAAGAACACCAGAAGAAAAAGGCAGAAGCCACAACTTGCAAAAAAGAATTTTCAGGTAGTGAAAATCCAGGTTGTTACAACTGGTGAACAACTCTGATGATTCTAGGCAACGAGGTTGTGCTTCCCGACGAACCTGCACCCCACACCCTAAGATAGATATTGTGGTGGTTGCTTCCTCGGCGAGGTCAGCCTCCCCCATCTCGTGCTTAGGACGACAGAAAAGTGACTTGACACCGCGAATATTTTCAAGTACCTGATATTTAGCAAAACCCTCTCTTTTGAATTTAGGGAACCCAAAGAGTAAGTGCTTCTCTTTCTATGTATATACTCCCTCCGTTCCTAAATATAAGTCTTTTAAGAGATTCCAACAAGAGACTATATACGAAGAAAAATGAGTGAATCTACACTCTAAAATATGTCTACATACATCCATATGTAGTTTGTATTGAAATCTCTAAAAAGACTTATATTTAGGAACGGAGGGAGTATCTTCGTACTTGAAAAACAAGGAGTGTAGAAGTCAAGTAAAAAAAAGGAGTACAAATTATGTCTAAGTCAAACGGTGCAAAGTTTGATTAAAATTTAGGAAAACTGTCATCCATACCAATACTCAATTTTTGCACTATCGGAGGTCACGCATTTATACTGTCTTCTTTTCAAGCATGGACGGAGTACATGCCTAAGTTTTAACATGCATAATCAGATCTTTAGCGGACCTTTTTCAAAATTATCATGCTTGCAGCATCTCTTTTTTTGACGAGAACAACAGAAGCTCTGCCTTTGCATTATAGATGAGAAAGAGGTACATGGTACAAGTAGAGGTGGCAAACTGCCCAAAAAAGCCAAAAACACAGGAAAACACTTGCTCTCATACAGAGAGCTACAGATGCAAACTAGACACCGTCCTAAACCATGTTTCTACCCAGCCACCTGGATGGAAGGATGGAAGGCCTCGTTGAGCATTTTGATATCATCCTGAATGAGATTCATCAAGGGCGTGTTTGATTGCCTGCAAGAGGCCCGACCTCGCTCGCGCGGGACACAAACGGACCGATTGGTTGCCTACTTTTAATGTTCGGCCCGCATGGCACGAACCTTAAAGCACTCCTGGGCCTGGCTCTCTAGAAACGCTTGACTCGGCAGTTTCTCCAGGGCTAGGCCCGAGCGGTGCACGTGGGCGGCAGCGGCTACACGCGCGCGGCCACGCTCGAGAAGCCGCGTTGCTTTCCAAAGCGCCGACAGTTATTACCCTCAACGCTCCCTCTCCCCACTCTTCCCTACTCTCCCAACTCTCACCAGCGGCGGCGGATTGGAGGAGAGCAAGAAGACCACCAGACTCCATCACCGGTGAGCGGATCATCACTTGGCCTGCGGCAATGGCAGTGAGCACTTCTCTCTGTTCATCATGCACTACTTTTTCCCGTTCGATCTGGCGATAGATTCGATCCACAGCGGAGAGGGAAATGGGGAATAGAGGTAGATAAGCATGTAGAGGTACTTCATACTAGTTCATAGTACTTCATACTAGTTCATGCAAGATCGGAATAGAGGTAGATGTGGATGCAGTAGAAGGGGGATTGGGGGTACACGACGGACACCGGCTAACCGCGGCAGCCGTCACGGGCGTGCGGAGTAGCGGGTCGAGTGGCTGGCCTTCATCTTCTTGTTCATCGCCGCGTGGGGCGGCAGGTCGTCGTCGTCGTCCTCGGCGGAGTCGAGGTCAGTCTGCTAGGTACGACGGCCTGGCTCCGGCGCCCTCGCTGGCATCTGCACCGGTTCTTCCTCCTCCTTAGGCTCCCCACCGATGACCGTCGGCTGCATGATTGCCGTCTCCCAGTACACTGTGGCACGACGGTCATTAGGAGCCCAGTAGTTCTTGTACTTGGATCACTTCTTCCTCTGTTTAGAGTCGTCGGAGACGGCCTGATTCATGGCCCAGCGAATGATGTCGACTGCCATCGCGCCCTTCGCTGGGTCAGGAATCAGCGTCTTCAGCTCTTGTGCAGTGGCCCTCATGAGCACTGCATCAGATTCCTTCTGCATGTCAGGCATGGAGCCGAAGTTCGGGCACACCTCCATGGTGTCCTCGAACTTGGTGCGGTCACCAGCCGATCACCCGAGGAAGAAGGCCCTCCAGCCAATACCCCAAGGGAAGGGGTTGGCGTTGGAGCTGGAGCTAGAGCTCATGGCGATGGAGAGGAGGAAGGTTGACAGTGAGAGAAGAGAGGGGGTGGGTAAGTAGTGGTGGGCAGGGTGAGTAAATATAGGGGCGATGGAGAGGAGGAGAAGAGTGACAGTCATGTCGTTTTAACTACATGCTCTTCAATAAGCCATGAACTCTGTGTTGTGCCTGACTCCATGAATTGTGTGCAGATCGAGGAGAGCAATGAGATGGGCACAGAGGTGCTCCCGGCCGTTGAAGACAAGGGCAAGCAGCCCCTTCATCCAATGCCCGAGGAGGTTGTGCTGACGCCCTCCGCCGATGAAGAACCAAAGACGCCTGAGGTTGGCGACGACGAGCGGATGGAGGAGCCCCCCAGCAAAAAGCGCCGCAACTACGACCACTACCATCAGGAGGATGGCCCAACTCACTTCTGCAAGGTCATCCTTGCACGGAAGCTTGAGTGCATCCCCATGCCCCTGGACTTCACCAAGCACTTCGTCGCGGTGCCGACGAAGTTCAAGCTCAGGAACAACATCGGCTGCTCCTGGAAGGTGACGGTGAAGCTGATGAACGGCAGGGTGACCCTGGATCAGGGTTGGGCCACCTACCCAGCCGTTCATCAGATCAAGATCGCCTACATGGTGACGTTCAAGCTCCTCACTCCCGACACCCTCAAGGTCATCATCTTCGACGATGATGGCATTGAGGTCGTCAACAAGTGCGAGAAGCATGACGAAGCCTTCGCCGCCAAGGACTAGGGCTGGGGCACCTCCTTCCTAAGTACTATCGAGTCTGCTCTGAACTGTTTATGGTTTATGTGTTGAACTGTTATAAAGTGTGGTACTGCTTATCTGAAATATGCTGTTAAGTAGTTGATCCTCTGTTTATACTCTGCTCTGCTTATGATGTGTGCTACATGGTTGTGCCGAAGTGTGCTGGTAACCTCACCAACTAGCCAAAGAGGTTACCACACACCAGGCGTTGCATACAACCAAACACCATGCCTTGGGTTTGTCCACTAACATGCAGGCAACCAAACACCAGACAGTGTGGTTCAGCCTATGCAGGCAAGAGGGCATGCAGACAAACAAACAACTTGCAGATGGTGCATTTGAGGATGCATTTGGATAGTCAGGCTGAGTTGAGAAGGCTATGAATGCAGCTACTGTTCACTACTGCAACCAAACACGCCCCAAGGCTCTTGACGCCATCTCAGCATTCTCAAAGACCCTTCTGTCCCGTTCCTTTCAAAGATGCCAAGCAATGTATGCCGAGAGGGATGTTTCCTTCGCAGCCTTGGATTGCGCACCGCGATGCATATAGAGCCTGTTCCACCAATCTGAAACTCAGTTTGTAGAGTGTACCACGTTGTAAATCCTGTCACTTGTACCCTGGAATAGGTACCAGACCTCTCTCGCATAGCAGCATCGCAGTGTGATTTGTTCCGCAGTTTCGGGCTCCTGATCACACAGCCGACATCAGGCATTGTGTGGCCATCCTCTAGCCTGCAGCCTGTCCGCAGTCCAATTTCTATTCTGCAGCAATAGCCAGTCCCGGGCTGCTCAATCCATGCAGCGAACTAGATCTCATAAGCAGAGCAGGCCGAGTATTTTCCATTTGCAGTGACATTTTCGGTAGCATTGATTCTTAGCATACAACAAACTAACATGAGGGGCTCGCATGTTAGATCCAAGCAACCGTCCGAAAGAGCTGTTAGATGGGTGTAGTTGGAGCAGAAGTCACTTCTATTCACCATTTTAACATAGCTTAAAAATTGCAAACAATGTACTATACGCTAATTGTGTAACCGCAAAAACTATATGCTAATTAAGAGTTACAACCCTAGCCAACACCCCATGCTTTGCCAAAAACTGTGTTTCTTTGAATAAGATTTAGTTTACTAACTACAAGTCGATACAGATCATTGCAAAATTGCAAACGAACAATGTTGCAAAAATAATTAGGAACATTATGCAGCATGTCTATGCACATTTTGGAACGGAGGGTGTATATGTCAAGTAGTACTGCTAAAATTGCTCAGACTGCATAAATGATCTATTACAGTATCTTACAGGTCACTGCCATTTCTACACACACAACTACATGTGGGAAGCACAGTACAACATGACAATGGGTGGTTCAGTTTCATAATCTTATAAACAACGCTTGTTTGCCAATTATCTCATTCTTCAGAATCTTAATTATACTGTTGCCTCAGTCTTCTCAGAAGGAAGAATTCCAGTAATGCATGCGATCTCTATCTTTTTTCTGATATAATCCTCATAGGACTTGGGCATATTAACCTAAAAAAGAGAAGAATTTCACTAGGGAAATCATCTTTCAAAAGCATGAATAATGCAGAGGTGAATTCACAAATTACAGTACCAGCTTTTTAACTCCGTCTGCGATCAACTCCTTAGCTTTATCCTCTTTAACCTGAAGGCAAGCAGACCATACATCAGAAGGAAATATTTCAATGAATTGCACCTGCATGTCACATACAAAAGACGCTACTTACTCCAGGGCGAATGGCTGCCGTGCAGGTATGAAACTGAAGTCAGGAAGATGAATAGAGATAAGCATATATGCACAGAGAAGAATATTAAGTTACAAGTGCAAATTATCTATTAATCAAAACAGCTAACGTACGTCCTCTTCCATCAACGTCATGGTGTACTCATGGTCCAGGGCAGTTTGCATTAAACCTTGTCGTACTGGAAACTTGTTCATCTTGCAAACATCCTCCATAGCCTTTCTGAAACTCTGTTGAACATTATTCAAGGGAAAAGCCATGCATTAATAAGCATATACAATGTATTCGAAAACAATGAACCATCATTGAGTAGTTGCTTAGTTGCGCATAACACACTAACCGTTCCCTTTGTGACACGCCGCCAAATCTCAAAGTACAAACGATCATACTCCTTAAACCAAGTATGATAATAGCAAATGCGCTCTTTATACTCCTAAATCAAGTGAATGCAACTGTCAGATACAATATAGGCCATTGTAAGCTACATTAAATTCATGTGTGTGAGAGATCCTACATCAAAGCCATTGTAAGCTAAAGTAGGAGTGATCTTGGGAAAGCTAGTAGCAGCAATCTTAATTGCTTGAAATGCTCCTCGGGAAGATATTTTACCCCACTGAACAACAACAAAGTTATGAGGGTGTTACAAGATATACAGATAATTAACAGTGTCATTCCAAGAATTTTGTAACGCCATACTTACTTTGACGGATGAGCGGCAAATATCGACATAATCTTCCATCCACTGTTGCCAGAGAAAAAGAAAGTTGTAAGTCCAAAGAAATTTGAAAGCATTGAACAAAATTAGACGATTTCCTTAACATGATCTCTGATGCATATACCTTCAGTTGCTTGGATAATTCCTGGCAGTACTTGAGATACTCTCGTTCAATATCATAGCTATGACGGTAGCTAGGGTAGACACTCCACATGCTGTACTCGGTACCACCCTACATTGAAAAGGACAGAGAAAATCAATTGCTTAGCAATTTTTAGAACGACAGGCAATACATAACCTAAGCAAAGATTTGATTGAACTAAAGGCTTGAAGCTGGAAAGAAAAAAACAATTTTTAACCATATATGATAAAAAGAATAAATAAGTGGCTAGTATTTATCAGAAAATACAATTCGGTTGCTTACAAAACAAAACAAAATCATTAGACAGAGTCAAAGAGTCAATCAGTGAGCCGTTTCATAAAAGATGAAGGTGATGAGGACTAAGGAACAAGGTGAAAGATTTTATCTGTTGGCACTATATTTGGTCCTGCTACATTTTTCTACTTCTTTCTAAACAAGAATGGTAGTTTTGGAGGCTGCATAATGTGTGTGATTGCCAGACAGTTGTGCCAGTACAATTGACCACAAATATAAATTGAGGATCACTCACATAATTTTTTAGGACTAGGCGTTGATAGTCACTCAGGGAAGCACATTCGCAGTAAGCAGAGTAGAAAAACCAATCGAGTGTTCCGTCTTCTTCAAAGCTAATGAAAAATCCCTTCTCCTCAAGAAACTCCATACTACAATCATCCTCAGTTTTATCCATAAGGTTATCATCCTCTTCCGATGTAGCGTCATCTTCCTCAAGGAATAGAAGTTGCTTCTTTGTCAATGTAGCTAAATATTCCCTTTCTTCCTTATCGTCCTCTTCCTCCTCCAGAAGGTTATCACCATGCGGCTCTTCCTTGGGCTGTGGCAACTGTAGACAAATGAGATGACATAGAAAATCAAATTAAATGCAAACAGGAGGTCAAATAATCCAGCAAATGCAGGCATTGGACAAGTAAATTCTGCCAATGTAATGCATGGCATGTGAAGATGGAACTGTGGACTGAACCTTGTATTTGTAATATCTGAAGCGGCACAGTGCATGGTCGACGTATTGCTGACCGAGATCCTCTTCTGTCAGCCCGGCTCTAAGATCAATCCACGGAGGCCCGGGAGCCAGCTGGTCAAAGTAAGCAAGGAACTCCTCATCGCTGATGTCCTCTCCCACGCCCGATCGATTCAGCTCTTGGATCAAAAGTTTCGCTTCATGTATATCTCGTATGTGCAACTCTGCTTTCTTGACATGTACTCCTACACACTCGTCGGGATCAGATTCGGGGATGTCCTCTGCTGCAGGGTGCTCATGCTCGTGCGGCATCTCTCCGCTCGAGCCCGTGCCCGCCGCCACCTTTTCGGGATGCACACCCACAGCGCCCTCCGCTCGTGCCCGAGCACGCCGACCCCTTTACGGGATGCGGCGGCGGCAACCGTCGAAACCCTAACCTAATCGGCCATGGGAGAGTCCGGTCTCTGTGGCCCTGGCACTTATGGAGTACCCCCGATGCTTCCAAACTGAAAAACGTGTGTCTTAGAAACAGCTAAAAGAATCCGAAAAGTAGTATATGGATAGATACAATGTGTATTTGTGGTACTACAAAATTCCAAGTTAGAACTCCGAACACAAATCTGAGAAAATCTAGTGCTGCTACTGATGACGGGTTGGATTCAAAGCCTGATTTAAATTAGCTCAGTATATTATTCAAAGTTCAATTTATTTTTTCCATTTTTCAAGCTATAAACAAAATTGGGTTATTATTTTTGTGGCACGGTAGAAACAAATAGATACATATTGTGTAATTCTTTAAATTTTGCTAACATTTTCTTAACATTGTACAGTCGTAGATTATCACAAACGCACATACACTTACCGCTATAAACACATGCACGCACATCCTACAGTACCTTTGAGATACTGAGCCGCCACGGTATCTTGAGATGAACAATCATCACACGTTTCTCATAGTCGAGGGAAGCGGCTCCTCCGTCTCCTCCTATAGAACGAACGTCGTCGCAAAGACTGAAATAAATTTAGAAAAATACGCGCACCAATGTCTTTATGACTTGAACTCTAGTCGGCTGGTTCCACCACATGAACCTAACCATCTGAGCTAGGTCATTTTCACAACTTTCCTAATCTATTTAGAGATGAGAAAATGACCATGTGCACCAGGTGTACCGTAAAGTCGCAATTTCTTATTGGTCAGCAGTAGGCGTCAATGGTTTGATCTCGCGTGAGGATCAGCTGCCTCGCCACCCTCCCAATTAGGCTACTCGTAACCGTTGGGTGAAAATCACAAGTAGTCCTTCTCTTTGCACATCCACCGTCACATGTGTGCGTTCGCATCCTCGCAATGTCATCCTCGCATCTCCGTCCAACCACCCTGAATGCTCGCAAGTAGACAACTCTGGCTCGTCGTGCCGCGCATCCCTATGGGGACCGACCGCCGTCGCAGAACTTATTCCTTGCGTGTTGCAACGCAATACCCATGTGTTGTCAACCGTTGGCAACACCATCGATGCACGCCAAGTCCTCGGAACATCGGTGGAGGCCCCCTTGAAGCACCCATGTCTGACCTACAAACATCATGAGGCGAGCGACTACCGGAATTGCAGCACCGAGAACCGCCCTTTGTAGTAGATGGTTTTTGTCAGCCAGCCTCATGTTGCATTGCAGCATCAGCACCTTCGCATCAAGCACGTCGTCCATGGTGTTGGATTGCAATGGTGGTGTCGCTTGCTAGATTTGGTGGGGATTTGCACATCACGTGGTGCTGCGAATTGTGGCCAGACCCATTTTGCATTAAAGCATCGGCGTGACATTGCTTGCAGCAGTGGACGGCGATTACATCGGACTTGGGTAGAGATCGCAACATTGGCGGCGGCGTTGGGGTTCGCATCATCTGTGGTGGGTACTGTTGGAAATATTAGCACTTTTCCAATTAAACTAATTCACGAGTAAACAGTAAACATGGCAAATACGGTATGCATCTCATACCGGTTCCTAAGCATACTAGCACGTACAGAATATAGAAGCAAACCATCTATGAGCAGCACATATACGGCTAGCACAAGCACGAGTAAATGAGGGATGAACATATCATACCCTCCGGTTGGCCAGGCCAACGCGGCGGCGGCAGCAGCAGCCTCGGCTTCGTCAGTGGCCTTCTTCTTTGCGGCGTCGTCGTCGGCCATGGTGTTGATGCAGGGGAAGTAGTGGAAGCAGAGGCGGATGGAGTTGGGGACGGATCGAGAGCAGTCGCGTCGAGACGCTCCCCAAAAACCTTATTGCCGATCTCCTGAGAAGGATCTCGAATGGCAGGGTTCCGGAGGCACCTGCTCTTCCGACCAACCGTGCACGCGGTCGTCGGGATGGGGTCGCCGGAGACAGCATAGAGCAAGGAACAGTAGATGACGGCTAGGCTACGCGAGAGGGAGTGAGTGAACTGAACTAGGTCACTCCAGTGGCTAGAGCCTTCTTATATAGTCCGTCGTGGGCTTGGGCGGAGGCCCATGACCGAGTCAACACACTCCCGGGAAGGGAGTCGTCGTTCCCGGAGAATGGTCGCACACCCGCGAATGGAGTCGATGAATCCCGGGAACACAAGTCAGCCACAGTCCAACGTCTCGGACAGTGGCCCACCTATTAGCAACTCTTTAATTAATCCCTGATTAATTAATTCATTCCTGAGCGGCAAAAATAAGCTCCGGCTCGGCTCATTCCGGCAACCCGCAGCCCACGACGCGCGCGCGTCGTGGCGAGGCAAAGCATGGCGAGGCGGGCGATGGAGGAGGAGGAGCGCGCGTGTACCACTCCTCTTCCCAAGCTCCCAATGGCAAGTGGTAGAGCAGCCCTTATAAAGGGGTCTCAGCTCTCCTCAACTAGCAAGGTGGGACTAAACTTCCCACCACCTGCCATACCATACATGGGCCTTAAGATTAAGTAGGAATCATTGTTTATATGGGCCTAAAGCCCATCCATGATTCAACAATCCCCCACCAGGTCTCAAGGTGCATAAGTTTGTCAGCTGTTCCAAACAATGTTTGATATATCAGAAATTTCAATGGAGACTGTTAAGTTGAACTTCCACCTAGAGCAACAGGATTAGACTTCTTCACAACTGAACAATGGACTATGCCTTGAATTGTCAGTTTGGCGTGCAGAAGTTTCGCCTATTGTTAGCTGATACGTGGCTGCCGAAGGCTAAACCCCACGGGTGGAGCTTATCAGTTATACTCCGTACCTTCTCATGAGCTTCCTAGAGATCACCCAATCTCATAGACTGTGAGCTCACATAGGTGTGTTCCTCCAAAGAATGCTCTGTAGGTTAGCATCTTGCTTACACAAGCTTTGGAACACATTAAGACAAAAGTCAGCCTGCCTTACAGAATTAAGAGTAGTACTGCATCTCCAGCGGAGTGGGTTATTAAGGATACTCTCCTCAGTTGACCGCTGGATTGTTTTTCTAGGTCCTAATTCACAGGATCTCCGATCACATTGGTTGGGTTACCCCCATGGAAACTTACGTGGGTCTCATACCCGTCACTCTCAATGCATTTTCTATCACAATCCGTGATAGCCCTTTCGTAAAAGGGTCTGCCGGATTCTTAGCAGTTTGGATATAATCCAACGCTATTACTCCGGAGTTTCTTATTTTTCTGACAGATTTTAATCTTCTTCTTATGTGCTTTGTGGATTTCATGTTGTCCTTTGAACTCTTAGCATTGGCAATCACTGTTTGATTGTCAAAGTTCATAAGGACAACCGGCACTGGTTTGTCAACCACCAGCAGATCCATCAAAAGCTCTCGAAGTCGTTCCGCTTCGATGCATGATGTGTCTAATGCTGTGAGTTCTGCTTCCATAGTCGATCTGGTTAAGATCGCCTGCTTGCAAGACTTTCAGGAAATAGCACCACCACCAAGTGTGAAGACATGTCCACATGTGGCTTTCATCTCATCAGCATCAGATATCCAATTCGAATCACTATACCCCTCAAATACCGTCAGGTACCCAGAATAGTGAATCCCATAGTTCGCAGTACCTTGCAAGTAACGCATCACTCGCTCAACAGCATGCCAATGCACATCTCCTAGATTGGAAACAAACTGGCTCAGTTTGCACACAACAAATGAGATGTCAGGACGAGTAGCACATGCTAGGTACATGTGTGAACCAACCACTTGAGAATATCTCAATTGATCTACAGTCGTGCCTTCGAACTTTCGAATCCTCGCGCTAGGATCATATGGTGTTGCAGAAGGTTTGCAGCCTGAATATCCAAAATGTCTCAAAATCTTCTCAACATAGTGGGATTGCAAAAGTGTAATTCCACCCTCAGAGTTTCTTAGTAGCTTGATGTTCAAGATAACATCAGCCACGCCTAGATCTTTCATCTCAAAGTTATGAGATAAAAACTCTTGATCTCCTCAATGACTTTGAGGTGGGTCCCAAATATCAGTATGTCATCGACATACAGACAAAGTATAAGTCCTTCGCCCCCACCATAGCGATAGTATACACATTTGTCAGCTTTGTTAACAACAAAGCCAGCAGAGGTCAGAGTAGTGTTAAACTTCTCATGCCATTGCTTAGGCGCTTGTTTCAGGCCATACAAGGATTTCACTAGCTTGCACACCTTTCTCTTCTGACCATTTACTACAAAGCCATCTGGCTGCTGCATGTAAATTTCTTCGTCTTGCTCTCCATTAAGGAAAGCCGTCTTAACGTCCATCTGGTTAACGAGAAGACCATGCGAGGCAGCCAAAGTGAGTAACACTCGAATGGTTGTCAGTCTAGCCATAGGTGAGTAAGTGTCGAAGAAATCCTCTTCTTGTTTCTAGGTATAACCCTTGGCCACAAGCCTAGCCTTGTACTTCTCAATAGTACCATCGGGCCTAAGCTTCTTCTTGAACATCCACTTACATCCTAATGGTTGACAACCATAAGGACGATCAGTGATCTCCCAGGTCCCGTTAGCCAAGATGGAATCCATCTTGCTACGGACCGCATCCTTCCAGTAGTCAGCATTCGGAGATGCATAAGCTTCTGAAATGGAACTGGGAGTGTCATCATCCATGAGATACACGAGGAAATCATCACCAAAAGACTTTGCAGTCATTTGTCTCTTGATCCTAACAGGAGCTTCCTCGTCATCCTCCATGGAACTCTCATCACTTTTATGTTCATAATATTCCATCAGAATGGCAGGTTCAAGAGTCTCATTAGATTCCAGTCCAGAAGTGCTTTGCATATCTCTCATGGGGAAAATATCCTCAAAGAATGTAGCATCCCTAGACTCCATGATCGTACCGACCTTCA